GTTCTATTTAGAGAACTTCCTTTAGCTATATTTTAGCGTAGGTCTGATACAGATTTTCTTAATGTTCCTTCATATGAGAATGTCTTGATTTCCCTTTCACTCCTGAAGGATATATTTGTGGTATATGGGTTTCAATTATTTTCTTCCAGTATTTGAAAAATGTGCCAATTCCTTCTGGCCTATGTGATTTCTGATGAGAAATCTACTGTCATTCAAATCATTGTTTCCCTGTTAGTAGTATCTTTTTCCCTCTGTTTTCCTTTAAGATTTTTTTCTTTCTTTAGTTTTTAGAAGTTTGACTATGATGTGTCTTAGTGTGGACTTCTTTGGGCTTCTAAGTTTTTTTGAATCAATAGATTTATATCTTTTGCCAAATTTGGAAAAATATCAGCATTATTTTTTCAAATAATTTTCAGCTCCACTCTCTCCTTTCATTTTGGACGCCAATGACATGAATGTTACATCTTTTGTAACAGAGTCACAGCTCCCTGAATTTCTGTTAATTTTTTCAGTCTGTTTTCTCTATGTGTTACCATCTATTGCTATATGTTCAAGTTCACTGATTTTTTTCTTTGTCCTCCTCATTCTTTTACTGAATCCACTGAGATTTCATTTTGTCATTGTGTTTTTCAGTTCTAAAACTTTTTAAAAAATATTTGTTTTTTATTTGTAGGTAAACACAATAACTTTGTTTTATGTTATGTGGTGCTAAGGACTGAACCCAGTGCCTCACGCATGCTAGTCGAGCGCTCCACCTCTGAGCCACACCCCAACCCTCTAAAACTTTTATTTGGTTCTTTATGTGTTTTTATATCTTTTTCTTTGCTGAGATTGTTCTTTTGATTGGTTTCAAATGCGTGTAAATGCTCATTGAAGGATTTTTATGATAGCCGTTTCAAATTTTTTGTCAGATAATCCTAACATCTAGTCATGTTAGTGTTAGCGTATATTGTCTGTCCTTTTCATTCAGCTTGATATCTTCCCGATTCTTGGTATGATGAATTATTTTCAACTGAATATTGACCATTTTGGAAATTATATTATGAGACTCTGGGTTTTACTTAAATCTCCTGTTTTAGCTGATTTGTTTTTTACATGCTCTAGAAATAAAAAAAAAGGAGAGGTGTTACCTTGTTACTGACTGATTTGGACACAAGTTGAGGTTCCTTAATCAGCTGTTGCTACCATGCCTAGGGGCAGCACAGATTTTCATGTGGTGTGGTTACAATAGAGTAGTATTTGTCTAAAATTTTTCTTGTCTAGGTTGTTCCTGTCTTTGTTCTTTGTTTATAATGAGTAAGCATTTGTTCGGCCTTTAAAAATATTCTCCTATTAGTGATTTTTTAAATTCTGGTTTTCCCAGAAGTCAGTCTGGGGTATATAAATCAAAAAGAAAGCCCAAGAAACTCACTACTATGTCATTGTTTGGGTCCTGAGATCCTTGGCTAGTCGTCTTCTCTTTTGTTTTAAATATCAACATTTAGTAATTATATGTATCTAAGGGGGTACAGTGACATTTGTATAGATGCATGCAGTGTGTATTGTATTTATTTTATATATAATGTCCAGGGTTTTGAGTTGCACTTTTTAATTTTTTTGAGTTGTACTTAATGAGAGAAATAGGGAAAAACATATCTATTCCATCTTCCTGGAAGCAGAATGTAGTTAACTTTTAGGATTTCACATTTCAGATTAGTTATTAAATCTTCTCACTTAGCCCTGAAGGTATAGTGTTAAAACCCCACATTTTAATATACTGTCTTTGTTGACTGAGTAGATCATACTCATGAAGCTTTTGAGATGTTGAGGTATAACCACAGATTAAAGTATCCCCAGAGTTTTTCAGCTGCTGAGCTGGTGACAGATTCCTTGGGTTTGTACTGCTCTTGAATTAATAAGTCTTCAATATTGCCTAGACTGGATATTTAAGAGGCTGTGAATAAAGATGTGGCCTCAACTGTCAGGGTATTTAATATCTAGTTGGGAAGAAAAGAAAAATGATTTCTCCATCTCAGGGCCTGGCAAATAGTAGACACTCAGAAGATACTTGTTTGGGTGAAGGAATGCTGCTAATTGCCCCTGGATAGCAAGTGTTGAACTGAATTGTGTGATGTATGCTAGAAGTGGTATATAAAGCCAGAAAAGAGGCAACAGTATGGGCAAAGAAGTCAAGAAGGGTTTTCTTAAGGAGGTACAAGTTGAGCTGTCTTGTCAGTAGGGTAAAATCTAGAGGTATTTTTTAGAAGAAAATTGACTGGACTTGTAAAATACTTAGGGGTTAAAGTGAATAAAAAGCCAAGCAGGCTCTGGTTCAGGACTGGTGATGTAACTCAGTGTTAGAGTGCTTGCCCATCATATGCAAGGCCCTGGGTTCAATCCTTAGTACCACCAAAGGGCTGGAGGGGAATCTAACAGACTTTGGTTTAAATCCTGGATGTCAGGAAAACAAGGGGAACATCATGAGTTTGATTTTGTGCCTGATGAGCTTGAGCTATTAGGAAAACATTCAAGTACAAGGGCATAGTAAGTATTTAGAATATTCAGAGTTGAGAGAAAGATTATTCCAGAAAACACCATCTTTTCCCCTGACAGTCTCCAGAAGATATAGAACCCAGTCTTAAACTTTACAGCTGAAAAACTATGTGATTTAAAACAATTCTTAATCCTTCTTTGGGTTTAGTTTCCTCATCTATAAAATGGGGTGCATTGGTAGATTTTTTTTAACGAATTAACACTTGGATCAACATAAGTATCAGGTATTTGGAAGGAGCCCTCTACATGTTGGAATGTTTTCTTTCCTGCTTTAAAAGGTCTAGGATTTTGTGATTTCTTTGAATCAGGAACAGTTCTTAATATATCTGCTTTCAGTGACTGGCTTTTTACTTAGAATTTTTTCCCTAATGGAGTCCATCAGTTTATACTACATGAAGTTAAGTAGGGGAGAGAAAGTTATACAAGTGTGCCTCAATCTTTCCAGACTTCCTAAGTTTTTCTCTGTTTTGAACGTGTTCAGTTTTCATGCTATACTCTACTCTGGGGAGTATAATGGGCAGGGAGCCATTAGTACACAGGAAGGGAGGGCTTTGTGGTATCTTAAAGCCACTGGAGTTTATTTATTTCCAGTTTGCTCAACATTTGTTCCACAGATCTGGACAGTTTAAAAAGGGGTGGGGGGCTGAGACAGTTTAAAAAAGGGTAGGGGGCTGAGGTTGTAGCTTAGTGGTAGAGCACTTGCCTGGCATGTGTAAGGCCCTGGGTTTGATCCTTGGCACCACATTAAAATAAATGAATAAAATAAAGGTATTGTGTCCATCTACAACTAAAATATTTTTTTTAAAAGGGTTGGGAAGGAACAGAGGGAAGGGTGAAAATGAAATTAGACATAGAGAAAAGGATGAACACAATTGTCTTTCAATATCGTACTGGAACTCAGAACACTTAAAGATGAAAAGACTTTTGGGTCTTGTCTTTCTGGAAACTGAACACTGGTATGACTGTCCACACAGCATGTGAAGAGTTGTTTTTTTTTTTTTTTTTTTAAACTTTGGTTGGAGAAACAATGCTACATTTTATGAATATATGTCCTCCATCTATTAAAAGCAGTACTTATTTCTTTCAAATTAAAAATAAACTTTTTAGACTTTAAAATAAGAGAAAAATAAGAAAATGAAAATCATTCATGATCACACCCATGGAGATAACTATTGTTGTTTCTATTTATTTCCTTCCAGTCTTTTTCTTCTTCGTACACACATGCTTGAGATCATATCTCTCATTCATTTGTATATCCTCCCTTCTTCCAGTTAATTTGAGCATTTCCTCATGTCATTATATACTCTTCTAAACATGATTTTAAATAACTATGTAGAATTTTGTAACATAAATGTTATTTCCTAGGATTTCATTGTATGGACAATTTAAGATGTTTCCACTTTTTTTGTGCTTTAAATAATGCTGCAGTGAATTTTCTAGTATAGATTTAGTGTATCTAATTAGTATTATTATTATTAGTTTGGTTTTTTTTTGATACTGGGGATTGAACTCTCTTATTATTTTTAATTATTTATTTTTTAAATTATCATTTTAACTTTACATATACCAATGGTGTATAGTGTGATAATTTGATAATACATAAAAGGGTAATAATTAGATCAAGGTAGTTAGCATTTCCTCCCCTTTAATATGAAAATGTTTTTCTTTCTTATTTTTTTTTAGTTATACATGACAGTAGAATGTAGTTTGGCTTATTATACATACTGAAAAAAATTTTGATTAACACATAGTAATTGTATTTTTTAAAACAGGGTTAATTCCTTAGGGAAAGAATCACTGGGTAAAAGGATAATAACATTCTTAAGGCTTTGGCATATTTTTCCAAGTTGCCCTGTGGGAGAGTTTTACCAATTTGCATTCCCATTAGTGTTTTTGAAGGCCTGACTCACTTCATTAACATGGAATACTCCATTGTGTATACATGATACTATTTTGTATAATTTTAATTAAAAGGACCTTACTGAACACCTAGTATATGTACGTTACTATGCTAGGCATTAGATTCACTCCTGCTATGCTATGTAAGTGCTAGACAGTTAAAACATACACAAAGACAGTTCAAAATGCAAGCGGAATATAACTATACATAAATCTCCATGACCAGGCTGACATCATTCAGCTTTTAAATGGCTACTCATTGAGGGAAGACAGCATACTAGCTAATTAAACAAATAATTTCAATCTTACAAGCACTTCTTAAAAAGGGAATGGTTAATGTGAATCTTGCAAAAAACAGAGGGTGGGTCATGATCATTTACACTGTATTCACTAATGTAAATTGGAGCAGGAATGGATAAGAATATTACAAATGCACATCTTTTAAAGAAAAAAAAAAGCAAAAACACTCTATTTGGGTGAAAGGACAATTTCTTCTTTTGTTAGTTCCCTTTAGAAAGTTAACCTGTTGGTTATCAGAGAAGGGGACACAGAACACACAGAAAACTAACCTCCTTCTGGCAGCTGGGGATAATTTGTCAGTCTCTTGAAATGTGGCTTTGTGCTCGCTGGTGAAGGCAGCTGGAACAGAAAAAGCATGACAGACAAAAGCTGAAATCCACATGAAGAAAGGTCTTTTTCCCAAAAATTACTGCCTGAGTTAGCAACGGTCAGAACAGAAAGTACATGTATTTCTTCCCAGCTACAAGCACGTCTGGTACTAGAGAAGGTCCCCTATGCCAAAGGAGTCATTTACAATGCCTGCAGCCCTCAATAGGACTGCTGGATAGCATTTAATCAAGCCTTCTGACCTCCATGAAAAGTCACATCCCCAAATCCACCTAAAACTGAAACTAGAAAAACAACAGTGTCATGTTTTGAAATCAGTCAAAAGCATTTACTGTTTTGAAAAGGAAGACCTACTTAATATGCAGTAGATGATGGTGTAAGATACAGAGGATTAAGTATATGATTTCAAGTTAAAAGTAATCTATGGAATAACTAACAATAATACTATCAAACTGGAAACCCAAAAGTACTTCAACTGATGAATGGATAAACTGTGGTACATCCCAGCAATGGAATACTACTCAGCGACACAAAAGAATGAACTAATGATACATGAACATCAAAAGTTATGCTGGGTGAAAGAATGCACCTCAGCAAACAGTTGTTCGCTAACTTCTGCCCTCGCCCCCTCTATCAGTCTCCCACTCAATCTTGCTTTCTGCTCATATGTTTTTTTTTTTTTTTTTGTGTGGTGCTAGGGATCTGCCCAGCTCTGAAGCCTGCCTTACCTACTGCCTTGTGTTTACTTCACAACAAATAGCTTGGGAATCTCAAGTCTCAAAAGATTGCATACTGTATGATTCCATTTTTAGAACATTCTGGAAAAGGCAGAATTGTGGGAACATAAAACACATCAGTGGTTTCCAGGGGTTGGGCAAAAGGGAGGAGTTGATTGCAAAGGGCAGCATGAGGGAATTCCTTGGGGGTGACTGAACTGTTCCATATAGTGATTGTGGTGGTAGTTATGATTTTATGCATTTGCCTAAACTTATAGAAGTGCATGCCAAAAACATAGATTTTACTGGATTCTATTTTTAAAAGTGAATCAAAAAGTCTCATAAAAATATTATCAAATATAGGAAGGTGGAACAAAAAGTTGGTTGGGAATACTGTTAGGTAAGTGAAGTTCTTAGTTTTTATAGCATAGAGTCAACAAATATGGTCTAAAATGGATAAATCAAGAAAAAACAGTAGAAACATACTAGAGATATAAAAGTAATCACCAGATGAATTGAAAAGAGAATCTGTTAAAAATGGTTGCCTCTGAGGAGTGGGATTAGAGGTGTAGAGAGATGGGGCAGAAAACGATTGTTGTTGTTTATTTTTTTTTTAAATTAGAAACTCTTCTGTATTTTGTGATTTTTTAAACTATGTTCATGTATTACTGTGATTTAAAAATAAATGTAGTGGAAAACATACTGGATTAGTAGGTAAGAAACCTGATCTCTAACCCCGATTCTGCACTAATTGAGCAAATTCCTTCTCCTTTCTAGGTCTTGGTTTCTACATCTGTATGAAAAAGGAATGAGATGATATTTATTATCCCTTTTACACCTAAATAAAATTATAAAATTAGATTATTTGCATAACCACAATGATTCTTTGTTGAACATGAAGCTAAGAAAAATCTGGAAGGGACAAAATCACCAACTTCAACAATTTCCTTTTCTTCTTTTTTGGGGTACTGGGGATTGAACTCAGTGGTGTTTACCACTGAGTTACATCCCCAGCCCTTTAAATTTTTTTTTTTTTAATTTTGAGACAATCTCACTCAATGGGCCAGGCTGGCCTTGAATTTGCAGACCTGCCTTAGTCTCCTGAGTTGCTGGGATTCCAGGCATGCACCATTGCTCCCAATATAAACAGTTTCTTTTTAGCCACCGAAGAAAGCAAGACATAGATTAGTTAAAAGACTCACTTGGAATGACAGCTAATTGCTAACAGAGCTAGGACCAGAGTTCAGGGCTCCTCGTGGTTGTTGCCATTGTACCACTCAGCTTCTCCAGGCCTAATGGAATTATTCCCCAGCACCAGAGCTGGCAAAAATTCCCTGGGATGACAGCCGGGGTGTAATTCACATACTGACATGGCTTCCTTGGCCTGGGAGATGAGTCAGACTCTTGGAAGAGGTCCCTGACATAAATATGTATGATGTAATATCATAGGAATCCTGAAGTTGGTCAAGGCGATGCTAAAGTCCAATTTGGGGGCTCCATTCCCTAATAACTGTCCAATAATTTGTCTTTGGTGGTTTTTGCTAGCCTACTGACTTCTTTTCTGTGATAGGAATAGCCCGCTCAAAAATACCATCATCCTCATTGGAATTTAAAACAACAGCTTATCACAGTTTCTTCATCAGTCTATTATCTCTATAATCTCTAAATTCAAGACATAGTTCACTGGAATCCATCAAGGAGGCCAGAAGAAACGTTCACTTGAAAACTTTTTATCAGCCATCAATCGATTAAAGAGGTATCTCGCTGTGGTTTAGCAATCCTCCTAGGAAGAGTTGAAACAGATTCCTGACTTTGACCATTGACTTCCTGGGGGATGACCTTCCATGATGACCAGCAAGCAGGCTGAAAGCATGTGCCTGCTGCCAAACATCCCCTCCCCCTTTGTCAGGGCCTGCAGGCTCACTTGCCCCTCACCACACAAGGTCTGTGGTCTATAGAATAAGGACACCATTATGTCGGGTTATCATTCTCCCTCAGTGGAAACAACACTGCCCTTTGTAAGCTCCCCTAAGTTCAAAGGATGTGGCCATCTTTCTGGGCTCCCAGGGAAGCCTCTTCAGGAAAGTGCTCACTGTGTCTTTCTAGTTCTAGAATCTTCTTTAGATGATGGTGAATCAGAACTGGAATTTTCAGGCAGCATGCCTGTTGGAGCTTTGTCTACCTTGGAAGCAAGATTGTATGTTTTAAAATCTCCTCAGAAAACAGTTGTTGGCCAACTTCTGCACTCGGCCTCTATCAGTCTCCCACTCAATCCTGGCTTTCTGCCGAGCTCTGAAGCCTGCCTTACCTACTGCCTGGCTTTTACTTCACAACAGCTGGCCTGGGGATCTCAAGTCCTGAGCCTCAGCTGCCAGCCTAGGGAAGGAGAGGCCCCTATAGTTGAGCCTGTGACAAAGAGAGCATTTGTTCCCACACTGGTATTCTCAATATCAACAACAGTGACAGGCTCCAAAGGGGATCATGCCCAGTCAGTGGTGAGAACTCCACAAGCCCAGAAATGTTCATACATCCGGCTTTAACTCTCAAAATGCTGTGAGGTGACTAGAAACCAGTAATAGGATTCCCATTTTGCAGTGGGAAAAGGCAAATGCCAGGAGACCAGAGGATTTGCCCAGGGGAAAGATGATCATTTTGCTTGAACAAGAATTAGGATATCTGAGTCAACAAATGTTGATTTCTGTGATTTACCAATTTTGTTTGCATGAAAAGTGCTATGAGCTGGCTTGCTTGTCACCAAGTGACCATGATGGTGCTACCTAAAGTAACTGGTGATGCAGAGGAGGTTGCTATGAGGGGAGAGGTGGCTCAAAACACTGCAGGGGCGTAGTAAAGAGACCATGTCCAACACTATTTTTTCCAGGGGACTGACTAGCATTCGGTTTTTCTTTCTCAACAAATACTGACTGTGCCAGGCACTGGAGATAAAGATGTCTTGGGTAAGCCCTTGTCCTCAAGGTACCCATAGTGGTATGAGGGTGTATCACCTGTCTTGGTGGTGATTGGAGGCTACAACAAAGAGACCAGCCTCAGACTTGAGGAGGTTCATGTTTATCCCTGCACTGACTAATAGAAAATAGTATTTATGTGTTTTTTTCCAGCCGTAGTGATGGATATGCATAGAAGGACTCACTTTGATTCTCTTCCTTGAAAGTAGGATCCACTTGTCACTAATTTGGCCAGACTACTTATCATAATCCATAAAAAATATGACTTTTAGATATAACTAAGGGTCTGGGCTGTGGCTTAGTGGTAGAGCGCTTGCCTAGCATGTGTGAGGCACTGTGTTCGATAGCACCACATATAAATAAATGACCATCAACAACTAATAAAATATTTAAAAAAATATATAACTATATCCAGGTGTGGTGGCACATGCCTGTAATCCTTCTGGAGACTGAGGCAGGAGGATCATAAGTTCAAAGCCAGCTTCAGCAACGTAGCAAGGCCTAAAGCAACATTGGGACATGCTGTCTTTAAATAAAATATAAAAAACGGCTGTAAATGTGGCTCAGAGGTTAAGCACCTCTGGGTTTAATCTCTGGTACCTAAAACAATGAGACTAAATATACACTCCTTATGCTTTGCTAGGATGGGGTGTAGAGATCAACATTGGCCGGGTTTTCTGGAAAGTTCATCAGCTTACTTTGTGGACGTGGCTCTGCCTACAGAGAAATGAACAGGACAGTGGTAAAGCACCCTGGGTTAATTCCTCTGTACAAAAAAAAAAAAGACATTCAAAGAAAAAATTGTATATGAATTTCCACACAAATATCACAATATTTAGAATGTCCACAATGACCAAATGCCCATCAACTGGTGAATGAGAAACAAAATGTAGCCTATTTATACAATGAATATTATTCAGCCATCAAAGTACTGATACATGCTATAACATGAATGAACCTGGAAAACATTAGGCTAAGGGAAGGAAGCCAGACATGAAAGGACAAATACTATATCATCATCATTATATGAAATATCTGGAATATGCATATATAGAGAGTTAAAAATACTGTTTAAGTAGGGCTAGGGCAAGGGAAGAACAAGGAGTGACTACTTAATGGGTACGGATTTCCTTTGGGGATGATGAAAGAATTCTGGAACTACATGACGGTGATGACTGCATGACATTGGGAATGTAGTTTATGCTACTGAATTGTACAATTAAAATTCTCAGAACAGGAGAGTTGTGTATATTTTACCAAAATAAAATAAATGTGGTGTCATTCTTTCCATCATCATCACTCACCATCCCTGCTGGAACACAGACACACA